GCTTCAAAAATCTAAAATGTTGTCTGTACTGGATTCTATCTTTTCTAAAAGGAAGGTTCCTTGATGAGGTGGAAGACTACACTGTGGGTATAAGATAAATGGATTGTTGTTAGGAATTATGCTGATTTAGTAAATAGGGAGTTATAGATTCTCCTACAATAACCATGAATTCACTAGTCCTGAATAATTAGATAGGTTTCCAGTACCAGGAATGGTTTTCTTTTTGTCATGTTGGTCTTAAATCCAACTAGAGAACTTCGGGTTACAGATAGATAGATAGATAGATAGATAGATAGATAGATAGATAGAGATAGAGATAGAGTTATAGATCAAGGTTTGTGTATATACGCCACAACTGCACCCTTAGGATTGTCATACCAGTTGGTTATTAATGTGGTTCAAAAGCATCATAGCTGGGTAGGACTGCTGGTTGTCCCTTCCTCCCTTGGAAGCTTGTATGGTGACTTCTGGTAACATGAAATCTTGTCAGAAGCCATTCCAATAAAATCTCACCACTTTGATTGTCAAAATGTGAGCTGGACAAGGACAACACCAATGGATATGCCAAAATGGATGAGGAAAAGCCCATGAGACTCAAAGAACTAAAGGCAGCTGAGGAAACCTGAGAGAGGTAACGGTCGTCTTCCCCAGGGAAAAACAGAATTGTTTGTCCAATGTCAAATACTCAGTCCTGAAAATAAGCATACAAAATAACATTAAATAGAATGACCTGGTTATATTTAGGAACATATATGGACATATATGTGTGTAATAGCAATTAGTGCAAAAGGAGGCCATAAATTGAAGGAGAGCAGGAAGAATATGAAGGAAAGGGAGAAATGTTGTAATTGTGTTATAATCTCAAAAGTAAAAATTTTAAGAATGGGAAGAATAGCTCTTGAGGGATGATACCTTTAATTGTTCTCACATATATACAAACACATACACACATACACACACACACAGAGAGAGAGAGAGAGCGAGAGAGAGAGAGAGAGAGCGAAGAGAGGAGAAAGAGAACGTCATATATTGTAATAGAAGTATAGGTACATTTCCATAGCAACACAATGGTAAACAATTAACTCGTTTTGGGGTATTCTTTGCCTTTCAGTCACAACAGGAAATAAATGACTGTTCCACCCACTGTGTGTAAGTGAAATTCATTGGTGTGTGCATAAGTAGTAACTAGATATATTTTAAAAATAAATGAGAGTGGGGTGAGCTTGCTTTCCTTATAAGGTAACAATATCCAATAGCAGCCCCAAAACTTCCAATTACCTTCCCTTACATTATTCTTTTTATTTCTCCTTACTGGTGGGCAGACAGAAAGTCATAGGAATAACATAGAAGCATTTAGGCATTTAGAATAATAGCAAACATAAATAATTAACATGCTATCTTTTAAGTATACCTTTGCTCATTTCTTCACCCCAGTTATGAGTTGATTTCTAAAAATATGAAATTATAATTAATGTGCCTATAATAATGAAAGTAGCACTATTTAAAAAATCAGGAGGCAAACATTCTTGGGGAAGTTCTCCCTTGCCTTTTGGCCTTATTTTTCTCATTTGTAAACAGAGTTATTGAACCAGACTAAAAAGTAGCAATTTCAAATGAGTTCATGGGCTAAGTAGATGTCATGAAATGAAGAGAGTTTAAATGAGGAGAATGAGGAAAGTGTGGTTATATCTTTATATTCATGAGTATACAAACCAGGTTATTTGAGATTTCTATAAACTAGCACTTAGGTGGCTCAATCTATATCCAAATGCAAGTTCAGCCTGGAGGCATCGTTTCTGCAGACTTTGAACTAGCTAGGTTCTCTCAAGTCCCTAACACTGAACATGCTCTCAGACTCTGCTGTCCTGGTGTAGTCTTATTTTTCTTTGTTCAACACACACTAAGCTTCAAAGTTAAGCTGCCCAGATGAATTAAAGACCACATTCTGTGGACTGCAAAATCAAATTTGTAATCACAGATTGGAGGTTTTGTGTATTTGAAAATCCTCTGGCCACTTCTAACTTGATTATTTACTAGTAAAATTGGCCCTAAATACTAAATTTACTAAATACTAAATTTAATACAATATCCAATGTAGAAACTAGAAAGTTTAGCCTTTGTTTGCCTTTAGTTCTCCTTCAAAGATGGTTGTGAACAGTTGACAAATTTGGGTTAGTTTAATAAAACTTAATTATACTTCTTGGCTCCTAACAAGTTATCACTGTGTCTATGGCTCAGACATTGAGTTTATTTGTTTGCTTTTGAGGACAAGAATATTTATATTTTTCATTTTTGTATCACCAGCATGCAACACTAACATGCAATAAGGACTCTAATACATGAGTTTATAATAATCAATTTCATCATCTTTGAATGAGTCAATGAGTTAATGAATTAAAGAAATGATAAGGAAGAAATCCCCTCTAGATATATAACAGCAACATCAAAAGAACTAATTATAACTCTACGTTTTAACAAGACAGCTGAAGAATGACTATTAAACCAAACAAAAACAAGTAATTTAAAAATATAAACAGAAGATATGGTTTGGTTTTCTCCCAGTTAATATCAGCCCATGTTCTAGAAATTTCAAATGTGGTATTATATAATTTTGATGCTGTTTAAATTGTATGAACAATACTTAGGGGAAAATGTGCAGATGTAGTGATACATACCTGTAATTCCAGAAGTCAAGAAGTTGAAGCACAAGGAATTTGATTTTGAGTCCAACCTAGTCTATAAAGACTAAGAATAAAAGACAGAGAGGGGTGGAAAGGAGAGAAAACAGAGAAAGAAGGTAAGAAAGAAAGAAAGAAAGAAAGAAAGAAAGAAAGAAAGAAAGAGAAGGCTGAGTGAGGAAGAGGAAGAAAGCAACTAATGTGGTTAGCTAAGCTTCCAATATGTAAGCTTACATCTTATCTCTCTGGCTTGTGTTTCTATCACTAATTCTATTGTCAAAGCCTCCATAGACTTGTACATTCGTCAGGCATGGGCCTCATCAAGTGGTTGGTCTTGGTGTTAAACAATGATTTACACTGTATTCTATGAGAGAAATGAGGGACAGGTTAATCCATATTGGCTGAACCATAGATTTTTCCCAGTTTGTTTTATTAAATAGTGAAACCACATTGACTAAAAGAATGAACTTGTTTTCAGGCAGTGGTGGCTCATCCCTTTAATCGAGGCACTTGAGAGGTAGAGGCAGATGGATCTCTGTGAGTTCAAGGCCAGCCTGGTCTTCAAAGGGCTACAGAGAGAAACCCTGCCTTGAAAGAACAAAACAAAAGTAGATGAACTAGTCTACATGAAAAGATCCTGTTATAAATTCTGTTGTTCAGTTTTTCTTAAATGAGCACTGTCCTACAAAAGAAGGATTTCTCCAGAAATCTGATTTGACAAACTGAAGACTGGATCTGGTAGACAGTGACATTTATGGAGGTGTCCTGTCATTCATCTGACCTAATTTACATACTCATCTTTCATTAGTAGCGCCAATCTTATGTCAGGTTCTATGATAAGCTACAAAGACAGCATCTGTGGCCAGTGTAGAAGCTTGAGAAATCCAAAGTGTAGGGAAAGCCAATTAAAGACTATCAGCAAAGCTATTCAAACAACAACAACAACAAAGAAAAAGCATAGCCTTAAATCTAAGCTACAGGAAATTGTCAAACATGCAATTTATGTTTAAGATGTTTAGTGTAATTACAGAAACCATATATGTGGAAAAGGGACCTGTAGTGATGGGGGGAAGGAGTGATGTGGGGTAAAAGAAGGTACAGAGTAATATCACACACAATACATTATATTCATGTGTGGCATACTCAAGGAAAAACCTTAATCTGCTTTTTTAAAAAAAACATAAATGTAGTAAATGGTGTTTTGGGGGGAAAGGGCAGGGTTGACAGATGTGGAAGGGTGATAAGAGAGGATAGGTGTGGCAGTAATAAGAATGAATAATTTATGTATATGAAATTGTCAAAGGAAAAATTTAACGAATAAAAATCAGTTTTATTAACACCAGCAGAAAAGTATAAAGCACTCATCCAGCATTCGTAAGGGATTTTATAACTATAGCAGAATATTTTTCAGCTAGTTAAATAATGTAACATTCATATACATTCCCACAAGGAAAGGATATCACCTCCACGGACAGTATAACAAGAAAGATATAAAAAATGTATGTGTACTCCCATTTATGGGATGGCATCTGTATGCTAATTTATTAATGAAACTAATAAAGTCTTGGAGAAACAATAAACTAGGATATTGTTTATTCCTTTTAAGTATAGCAAATTCTGCCTGAAACAGATACTGAATATCAGGGAGAAAGTGTTCTTTTTATTTTATTGTCTTTTAAGTGTTTCACTGTGATCTTGAATCCATAAATCAAGCCATTAGCAATAGGACTGTTATTGGACAAGTTTCATTGGCTCCAAATCCATATTTAATTCACCACTGTTTTCTCACTGCTCACCAATAACACAACTTCATGTATAATTTGACAACATGTTTTTATTGAATTAATGAATTAATAGTTTTGAGACTGGTTTGAGACTGGAGGAGGTGAGTGATAAATTAGCAAGTAGGGATAGTGAAGACCAAATATGACAGGAACTAGTCCTCAGTGGGAAGACTTAGTAGCTATGGAAATACAGATTGGTTAAGGATGTTTGAGCCAGGAAGCTAGATCATAGATGACTAGGGAAATTAATTTGACATTTAAGTAAATGGGTAAATGGAAATGCAAGACTATTCTAAGCTAAGGCATTGGAGAAGGCAGTTGTGATCTAGTTACTGAATCTCATCTTTCCTCATGATTTTGAAACAAAACCCACTAGTAATCTAGAACAGTTAAGAAGAGCATGCTAGCACCATTATTCGATTTCCACCCCAATTGTGAATGGGACAAGCTCTTTCTGAATGCTTAGGATCTATGTGTGTGGCTATGGAGGACAGCTGGTTAATATTTCAAAATTAATTCTTAATTTATTTCTCAACAGGTTCTCTGACTCTAAGAACACATCACGTTCAAGATTCCAAAATGGGATTTGTGATCAATGCAATTTATTCTATGGCTTATGGGCTCCACAACATGCAGATGTCCCTGTGCCCAGGCTATGCAGGGCTCTGTGATGCCATGAAGCCAATTGATGGGAGGAAACTTTTGGACTCCCTGATGAAAACCAATTTTACTGGAGTTTCTGGAGATATGATCCTATTTGATGAAAATGGAGACTCTCCAGGAAGGTACTGTTACAATTCTCATTGTTGACAATAACGCCTGAATAATAAATAGTCACCTTCAATTTTGGTTTGCCAGGCTTCTGGGATAGGTTTGGCTAAGGCTCATATTGCAAAAGGGACAGCCTCATTTTCCTGTGGCCAAGGAAGACCACTCACATTAATACCCACTATGTATTTTTTAATTCATCACCATTTCAGAGGCATAAACTTAGAGGCGGGGGCCTTGACTTATTATAGACAAATAAAACCCATCCCATGGGTCTCTCAGTGCTCATTTGTCAGCTTATCGCCAGTCTTTGGTTACTTCTTATCACAACACTATTCTCAGACAAGAACAATTCCATTTTTGATAAATCAGAACTAGGGTAAGGATCCTGCTCTCTGTTCACTCTATCGGCTGATGAGTCATGTCATACTTTACTTTGTTATCCTGTAACAGAGGTGCTTTCTCCTTTGTTAAGTTAACAAGGTGCCTTTCACTCTGAATTTTCTATTATTTTTAGAGGCATGACTGAAATCTATGGAACTTGTTCATAATTATAAGCCAGTCTTTAGAGAAATCACTAGGTATTGAAAACTTACCAGAAATGACCTCTATCTCCTACTTTAAAGATTTATTTTGCTAAATACTATATTTTGAATACATGGGGATAATCAATTGAATTTATAGTGAGTTGTGGCATAGTTAGGTCAATACTCTCCTTTACAAAAAGCAACCAACCAAATAAATAAAGAAATGAAAACACAAAGGGTCCTTTGGTGCCATGTTCTTTTCCCAGCAGCAGCTTATGCCTAGCAGCTGTGTTCAAAGAACTGTCTGCACAGTGTTTGCTGCTAGCGCTGCCAAAAGAACGACTCACAAGTACCCCCGCAAGTTGAAACCCATGTGGCCACACCTTCTGCCAGAAGCCTTGATGTAGCACATTTCCACAACCTGAAGTAAGCTGGAGCTGGCCCTGGACATATCTGTCAGCACTAAACAAGCTTCACTGCCAAGCTAGATCCAGGTCTCATGGCCAAGTGAAAAACTAGGTATTTCGTATATTCTAGACACTTAAAGACTAGCCCAGATATCTGCAAAACTAACTGGCTTTTTACTATTCTCTACTTTGGGGAACCTCTCTGTGTTCACTGTGGGGAAATAGAAACATTTTATTTGTACCAAAGGAAATTTCACACGTACTGTCTGTCTTAGTACTAAGCTTAAACTCTGATTCCTGGGCATGGATTTATTGTTCTTGTGTAAACTACAGTACTGATGCTACTCTTGGCCCTGTTAATAGATTGTGAAGGTAGCATCAACATCTCAGGAGGTTTCTTGTTATGTGTACAAGCCAGAGCCACAAAACAGATGAGAAGGAAATGTCTCTGGTGGCTCATCTCCAAACCAGTGGAAAACCTTAATGAATTAGACAAAACATCACTGCCTCATTCACAGATCTAATAGTTTGTGTTAGAAGTACTTTGGGAACACTGCTTTTTCACCCCTTTTTAAACATCTTGAAGACTGACACAATTCTCCATATTTCTTCAATAATGGCATGCATACTATTTCGCAAACAAATTTTATGAATTGATGTTCCTTTGCAGGCTGGCCATGCACTGCTAAATTTAGGTATTAAATTAAAGCATAAATAATTAGCAGAATTACTTTGCAACTTTTTTGTGTTTGTCAATACATCTAGTTCATATATATAGTGATTATAAAATATGTTTGCAACCAAATGGGGAAACACAATGAGACACAATCTGCAAAAATATAAATATAACTAACATTTACCAAGTGTACATGATTCAGAAAATACACTAAGCTAAACACTATTTTTTAATCATATGAACTAAGCAATATTTTTCTTCTTTCTAGCTATAGGAAATGAGATTTACAAAGAGTAAATGGGGGATAAGGAGATGGCTCAGGAGTACAGAACTTAAGCTAGTATGAAGACCTGAGGTCAAATTTCCAAAACTCACATAAAGCTTTACAAAGGAACATGTATCAATAATTGCAACATTTCTACTGTGGGAAGTGGGGAGAGGAGAATCCCTGGGACTCTGATGGGCCAACCAATCTGGAATACATACACACACACACACACACACACACACACACACACACACAGAGGAGAGGGAGAGAGAGAGAGAGAGAGAGAGAGAGAGAGAGAGAGAACTTGTCTCAAACATTACTGAAGGCAATAATGTCCAATGACCAAAGGTTGCCAAGGATGGATACCCAAGGATATTGTCCTTCTTCTGACCTCCACTTGTGCAATATCGCAAATACTTGCTTACACACACACACACACACACACACACACACACACACACACACCTGAATGACTGCATCTCACTCAAAGGCATAGTCTAGAAAAGGAGAGTTAATGGCTTCAGTTCTCTAGGCTTCAATACCTCACCTCACACAATCCACCAGGTCAAAGTGAAAGAAACATATTTTCAGAGAAATGTATTTTCAGGAATTATATTAGGCTTTATGAGGTAAAATTTTCTTCTACACTAGACAAATGGATTCCCATCTGAGAAAGGATTCAAAGAAGCCTGAGGTAGTGAGAGATTCTGCTAAATCATCAGGATGATGAGAGGATCCTAGACAGAGAAAGGAAGACATTGGTGTGCTGATAACCTCAGTGCTGTGACTATATACGTGACAGGAAACAATGTACAAGAGGAATGATCAAACCTCTTGATTGAAGGGTTCAGTCCTTCATGGTAGAGAATGCACAGGGCAGGAACCAACTTGAAGCTGTGGCAGAAGGATTGTGAGGTCCCACCTGGACCGTATCAGCTATGGCCTCTGCTTAGCACTAGGCTGAACCTGAGAAAGCACTTCCTAGGGGCACAGCTTGATTAAAATACCCAAATGCCTCTCTTTATTCAGGTATCCTCTCATTAAATAAAAGCTTTTACACCAAATCTCCACTGCTATTGCTTGGTGCCATCTTTGTTACATTCCGGAGTTATCAATGGGTAGGATTCTCCCTCTAGGTCACCTTTTCTATTGCAAAGGTTTTGCTTTATCTTAGTGGACTGATACTTTTAGAGTTATAGTCACTTGGTCCACCCTGCCTGCAACTTTAACATACTTGCAAGCTTTTCCTCACCAAATTACATAGTTTCTATAATATTCTACACCCTCTTACTGTAAAACTGAACAGGAACAGAGACCATAGCTTTGGTGTTATAGTGGGCAATTTATTGGAATCCCTCATCACTCCGGGTTCTTTCTTCCCTTCTCCAAACAACTCAATCCATTGTTTTGGAATTCACCCTAATTTAATTATGCATAACACAGCCAGATTCTTTGCCAGCACTTAACCCAAATTGCTAGGAACCCAATTCTGGACAACCTTGTTCCCTCTTTAAAACCCCATTATCATAGTTTGTATTTCTTTTGGCACTGTGATCTTTCAAATTACTTCCAGAATTTCTTCTTCTCTGCTTGTAGGACCCCAGGTCTCCTCTTTGCCACAGATTCCACTCTTCCACATTCCCCTCGGAAACCAGATCCAAATGCTTAAGAACCAGGTCAGGTAGTCAGAGTAATGACCGCACTTCTCAGTATCAATTTTCTCTCTTAGTGAATTTTCTGATAACAATGACAAAATACTTGATAAACAAACTTAAAAGAAAAAGGATTTATCTTGGGTTGCTCTTTGAGGGTGCAATCCATCATGGTTGACAGAGCAGAGTAGTCATAATCTCTCACAGTTGTGGTGACTGGAACAAAAATCTTTTGGCTCATGAAAAAAGGGAGGAAAAGAAAAAGGACTATTATATGGACCTCAAGCCTGCTTCCTCGTAACCCTTGTGTTAGTTCCCACCTCCGAGAGGTTCCATTACCTCCCAAACATCTCCACCAGCTGAGTTCAAGTGATCAAACTCATTAACCTATGGGGGACATGCAATGTTGATGCATACTTTTAAGATTATTTAATATCCCTCTTTGGCTATCATTTTTAAGCCTTCTGATGAGAGTACTATTAAGCTATAATACATTAATTAAAAAATGTTGACCTAGCTGTGCTATAGAATAAAGAATTTATGAAGTTACAAAAGTTTACATTCATATTATGTCCCAATGTGCTATGCACCAGAAATCCTTAACACATTAATATTTCTATACCAGGCCATATAAATATTGACACTTTGCTCTATTATTACACTATAAATAATTTCATAACTGTCAGGTTTTATTCTGAGATAATTATAGATAGGTTTATGTTTTGCTACCAAGTGATTTATTAAAAAAATACGTTTTTCAGAATTGTGAGCATTTCCAGCTTGCACATAAGAAGTGTGAGCCTTTACTATTTGGTATCAAAAATCTTGGTCACAGGTTGGGAAAATAGGGTTTGCAAGGCAAGTCGAGTCTGCAGTAATAAAGTTTTGGAGTACACTGCACTGTAACATTTATCTAATGAGATATCATGTCTGTGTATATGCTGTATTAACAGTACTGAGTGCTTAGATATCATTTCACAGCTGAAAATATTTGCTATCTAGTCTCAAAAGCAAAAGTTGGCTTGGAAACTTTATCACAGATCATAAGAGTTCTGTCTGCTACCTGTGTTGACCATAACTTCACAGACAAGATGGAGAATATGTGGTAAACTGAATACAACTGATTGCTTAAAGCAAAACTAAACAGTATGCAGTGGGGAAGATGAGTATGTAAATGTAAAATATTGAAAAATAATCATATAAAGAAAGTAATATAAAATTATAATAGGGCAACAATCATATATTTTACATTAAGTGACTAAATTTTGACTTTAAGTAAAATAAGAAGGCATTCTGTAGTTTCTTTAGCAACCACTGAGGATTTTAAAATGAACAAAAAGAGATGTAAAGCTAATAACGGTATTTAGAAAAGATTCTTCTGAAATAATACCGGAAACTAAAAATAGAAGGGTACATGGGGAAATAAAAAAGAAATTGTAGAAAATTGTATGAACCTAAATAACTCTTATACACGGCTATTTGGGTTA